TTCGAATTTTCCCGTTCCACCTTAAATGGTGCAACAGCCAGCATCTTGTTCGAATTTTCTCGTTCCACCTTAAATGGTGCAACAGCCAGCATCTTGTTCGAATTTTCCCGTTCCACCTTAAATGGTGCAACAGCCAGCATCTTGTTCGAATTTTCCCGTTCCACCTTAAATGGTGCAACAGCCAGCATCTTGTTCGAATTTTCCCGTTCCACCTTAAATGGTGCAACAGCCAGCATCTTGTTCGAATTTTCCCGTTCCACCTTAAATGGTGCAACAGCCAGCATCTTGTTCGAATTTTCCCGTTCCACCTTAAATGGTGCAACAGCCAGCATCTTGTTCGAATTTTCTCGTTCCACCTTAAATGGTGCAACAGCCAGCATCTTGTTCGAATTTTCCCGTTCCACCTTAAATGGTGCAACAGCCAGCATCTTGTTCGAATTTTCTCGTTCCACCTTAAATGGTGCAGCTTCAGGCACCAGAAAGTGACTGCTGCACCATTTAAGGTGGAATGGGAAAACTTGAAGAAGAAGCTGGCAAATGGGAAGCCAAATTTAGCTTCGTCCTTCTTACTGTGTTTTGCTGATGTGTGTCAGATTTTCTACCGGAGCGCTAAACTCGGTTTTTAACGTCGGGTCCAGATGGCTCATTAGCACGATCACTTATTAAAGAAATAAAAGCTACAGTCCATTAAAAATGCCTAATTTAATCTATGTCTGAGGATTATAACTAAACAAATTTGGTGAAAATCGGTTGAGTAATAAGGAAGTTGTGGCCGATTTAATCCTGAGACTCATCATCTCTCAATACACGTGAATTTGTTCACAAGCGGATCTTGACCGCTCCAACATGGCGGACGCGCAGACGCATCGCCTCAGATAGAGAACAACAGGCAACGCGGCATCTAGGAATGTATATCAATGCCATTAACAGTCTGCTGAACTACTTGTTAAACAAAGCTGAGTTTATAATCAAGGTTACGTTCGCTGACTTTCATGACTTACTTCATACACATGCAGTTTGTGAGAGTGTTTTCCCTCCTTCAAGCTGGGTGGGATGTGAGTTTTCACCTTGTTTGATGGAGGGAAAAGTTCTAGGCCCTCTCCTCCCTCTGCTGTGCTGAGCCGGCTGCGCGCTCTGTTTGTTTATCTGCGTCTCTGATCTGCTCAGAGGAGGGACTGAATCACGTCATCAGAGTGTTATGGCATAGTGGGAGCTTATGAAAGCGCAGCTGCTCTGCTTCACTAAAAATCTCAGGTGAAACTTCAGCTTGTTTTGCTAAAATGCACTGACAGTATTTAAAAGGGTCCACAACAGTGTTACCATGAATGACTGATATTGCAGAATACAGATTACCAGATACCTACGCTTGTCTAGAGTGATGTGATTTATGACTTATCGTAAAGTACAAGCCAGTTCCAAAAAAGTTGGGACAGTAAATGAAATGCTAATTAAACAGAAATGAGTGATTAGTAAATTCAGTTTGACCTGTATTAAATTGAAAATGGTACAAAAACACAATGTTTTTTGTTTTGCCTTAAGAATGGGAGACAGTTCGGGACTGCAGGCAGGCCAGTCTAGCATTCAAACTCTGTGATTATGCAGCTAAGCTGTCGTAACATGCAGAATGTAGCTTGGCGCTCCCCAGAATAAGAATGGACGTTCCTAATAAAAAGGCCAGAGGGCAGCATATGTTGCACCAGAATGTATTCAGTGGTAGTGGCGCCTTCACAGATGTGCATGCTACCCACTAATCCCCCCAGTACTATGACAGACCCTGGCTTTCAGAATCATGTGGATTCCTGAAAATAAGGCAATTATTATTTAATAATTATTTAATGTGATTTTAGGCTATGAAAAATCATGTCATACCCAGGTAGCTGAACACAGCCCCCTACGAGTTTGCACTGTCAACCATTTTCTTTGAAAGACTGAAGCAAGACAAGTTACAGGTTTCACTGATATGAACATCTGCAAATCTATGCAAATTTAGTAAAAAATGTTGAAATCACTTAATGAAGTTATTTCACTTGTGAATTGAACTTATGTTCAAGACTAAGACTAAGTTCAAGACTAAGTTAGCACTGGAATATGAACTTGACTATGCATTCAGTAAACCAGCTAAACTGACCGTGAAAACTTATGTCTAAACAAAGATAAAAAAATACATCTTGAATTTGATCTTGAAATCCAGTCACACTCATCTGTCTCTTTGTCTGACATAACATTACAGTACATCTGCCTCTTGGCTTCTTTGGGGCATCCGTTGTAAACAGGATTGTATAAATGTCTAACTGTTTGTCAGAGATCGAAAACTGAAATATTTTTATTTTAAAAATGAATCAAAGACCAACTAAAATTACTCAAAATTATGGTTAATTATGAAATGTATATCTTTTTAAGGGCAGCATTGAGAGCAAGCAAACATCACCAAGTATTCAAAGCTGAGATGTTAACAAGTCACCTTGTGTAAGTGCAGGTCGAGTCTTGTGTCTCTGAGCGGCGAACCCAATCGAGTCTTTAGTCTTTAGTACAGAACACAGGAAAAACCCTTAGTCTGAAGGACAGAACGAAGCACTACATGCAGTAAAAGCGATGTTTAAAATAAAGAAGTAAAACAGTTTGAAATGGTTTGTCTGTAGTGTGTATGTATGTTTGCAAGCTAGCATAATTGCTAATCAGGAAGAAGTCTATGTAAGTTTTAAGGAAATGTGATCTGCAACAAACTAGAACTTCAGCCAGATTATCTAACAACTAAAGCTACATTATCTATTGCTAGTTTTGCCTCTTTCCCTTAAACATGACATTTACTGCTTGTAGCACTGAGTTCTGTTTCACAGTCAAGGTTGTTCTATAATGAAAGGCTCATTTTTTGATACTGTATTGAACCTGATGCCGCTGTCATCTGCGAGAATAGATTACAGTAATTATTGTTTACTTTCACTGAGTGTTGCCTCCAGGCTGTGGCCACGACAACTCATGAGCTTTTCCCAGAACTAGCTCCAGGGCCAGAGGGAGTTTAACTTTCCTGGTGCTCTGGGTTTATACCTTTTTCCGAAAGGATGAGTCAGACTGGAATGTCATTGAAGCACTGGTATTTATTTTATATAGTTCACGTATTAAAAACTTAACAGAGTGCCAACGAGAAAAAGAGAAAAAGAAACCATTTCGCACTGCAGCAGTGACCACTGTTGCCAAGGTAATAACATCACTTCCCTACAGTATCTATGATGCAGTGACCTCAAACCCCAGCAGTGCGCATAACCTGAACTGAAAGGCAAAATCACACACACAAAGTTGGAAAATGAAGGTTTTATTAGTTCAGCACATTAAAATTGATGGTTCTAATTCAGTTTTGTTTGTGCATTTTTTTGCTTTGGCTGTAATTTCACAAGTCCCGAGCTGGAGGCGAGTCACAAGTCTGTTAAACATGAGTCCAAGGAGAGTCACGAGTCAATTTAGCACAAGTCCAAGTTGAGTCCCGAGGCAGTTAAGCGTAAGTCTGAGTTGAGTAAGTTAAGCACGAGTAGGAGTTGAGAGTCATGTAAGCGCAGTTCTAAGTCTAGTCATGAGTCCGAATTGAGAGTGATTTGTTTGAGTCAGAAGTCAGTCTGAATTGAGTTGCGAGTCAATTAAGACTGAGTAAGTTGCGAATCTGTTAAGCTTGAGTCTGAGTTGAGTGGCAAGTCAATTAATCGTGAGTCTGAGTTGCGAGTCAGTTAAGTGTGAGTCTGAGTTGAGCTGCAAGTCAGTTAAGCATGAATCTGAGTCGAGTTGCAAGTCAGTTATGTGCGAGTCTGAGTTGAGTTCAGTCAATTAAGCATAAGTCTGATTTGAGTCGCGAGTCAGTTAAGCATGAATCCGAGTTGCGAGTTAGTTAAGTCCAAGTTGAGTTGTGAGTCAATTAAGAGTGAGTCTGAGTTGAATTGCAAGTCAGTTAAGCGTGAGTCTGAGTTGAGCTGTAAGTCAGTTTATGTGCGAGTCCGAGTTGAGTTGGGAGTCAGTTAAGAGTGAGTCTGAGTTGAGTTGCAAGTCAGTTAAGCGTGAGTCTGAGTTGAGCCGCGAGTCAGTTAAGCATGAATCTGAGTCGAGTTGCGAGTCAGTTATGTGCGAGTCTGAGTTGAGTCGGGAGTCAATTAAGCATGAGTCTGATTTGAGTCTCAAGCCAGTTAAGCATGAATCTGAGTTGAGTTGCAAGGTAGTTATGTGCAAGTCCAAGTTGAGTTGTGAGTCAATTAAGAGTGAGTCTGAGTTGAGTTGCAAGTTGGTTAAGCGTGAGTCTGAGTTGAGTCGTGAGTCCCAGTTGAGTTGCGAGTCAGTTAATAGTGAGTCTGAGCTGCGAGTCAGTTAAGCATGAGTCCGAGTCAAGTCACCAGCCAATTAAGCACAAATCTTTGCATTAAATCATAATTGAGTGAAGTGCAAGTCCGAGTCGAGTTGCGAGGCAGTTATGCATGCATCTGACTTGAGTCGCTAGCCAGGTCACCGACTCGCTTCTCCATCTTGGATTCAAAGCCTGTAACAAGCTGTCCGGACAGCCCTGGTTCTGTTTACATCCACAGAGCCTCCCTGCTCGTCATCCCAAACAGTCTTTCCCCGACTTGAATGAAGCATTAGGCGTTTTTAGTATTACATTAATCTGCTGATGTGGAAGCAATAATGTTTTGTCTCATTGTGTTTAGATCACATCGGTTCGGTGTTCGTGAGCGGACATGAATCTACCAACCTCCCTGGATTAATGAAGTAATTATCACAAACAGCGCTGCCCTTTCCTCCGACAGGAGCTTTTGTGAAACAATAGCCCCCTGCTCTCTCTCTGTCTCTCTCTCTCTTACTCTCTCTTTCTCGCTCCTCTTCTTGACCAATGGCTATTGTTTCTTTCCTCCTCTCTTTTTCTAATGAGACTAAAGTGCGCCTGTGATAGGTGTCAAGGATGAGCGAGTCTGATTGCATTTGCCCACGTTTGGCCGCAGCATTTTAAATGAGACTTATCAGACATGCAGAGCTCGTCGTGGGCTGGAGGCCGGGGGGGGAGAGGTGATGGTGGAAACTGGAGGCATGAAAGGGCAATGGCTGCACTGCCCATTCTATTTCTCCTCAGATGATCTCAACGGTGCTTCGCGAGACCCATTCTCTTGATTTCTTTCCAGCCGTCTGGCTTGTGCCTTTCCATTCACCTCTTGTGTGGTCTCACTTAGGCCATTGCAGTCCTGAAACAGTTTCCAATTTGCAAGTAAACAGCTGAAGGCGAGATGGATGGCGATATTATAGCCTATTTGTAGGCTTCTGTGAAGACCCAACCAGGAAAACCGTCAAGTTTAAATGTTTGCACATTTGGTTTTTTGATTTGTTGTATAGCCACATAACTTGTCTGGGAGGTTTCACGAGGTATTTTGGAGGAAGTATTGGTGTATCAAAGTTACAATGTGTTGCGGTGCTACATAAGTGAATATAAACATGAATAATTCAATGGGCAGCTGCTGCTGTTAAAGGGGAATTGATTAAATTTCTGTATAATTCAATCGTTGAGATGTAAACAAAGCCATTCAGAGTGTTTTGAAGTGAAATGATGGATTGTAGAGAAACGTACTGTCTCAGGCATCAGGCAACATGTTTGCAAGCACTTTGTGTAATAGCTTTTTGTAAGGTAACCTTTAGAGGCATTGATAGCATCAGATGTCTGGTTCCTATCACCACCACTATGAACGGTTCTGACTCAGCAAGTTTGTCTGGAAAGGAGCTGACCACTCTGAATTACTTTGTCTAAAAATGTCTTCTTTATTTTTTTTGCATGTGAATAATTAGAGCTTTTTGTAGCATTATGCACAAAAGTGGTAGCTGACCTCTTGTTTAAGGTAAAGTGAGTCCTTCTAAAAGTTTATACCATTGGCTATGAGGCTGTTTGTCTCAGAGAGCCAGTACTGAGCATTAAATTACATTTTTTCAGTTTTATTAAATGGAGAGTTGTACCCAAGTCCAAGGATATGAAGTGTCATGCTTTGAATTCTTGACTTCACACTTAATTCTTAAAAATTTGTATTTATGAAAGACATAATTAAATGAACCTAAGAGATTAGGGATGTAGTTAATCAACTGATTAACAGTTTTTGGACAAATAAACAATTATTCAACCAATGCTGTTGGTTAAAAAAAAGTTAACTATATTTCATTTCTAGTAAACAACAGATTCTATTTGATTAGGGTGGTTTAGCCTTCAAGTTGAGGATCGTTCATGAATTGTACGCTTGAAGGCGCAATAGGCAGTTGCACTGTTAATAAAAATAAAAATAGTAGACTTTGAGAATCTTTTGAGAATATCGTAATATTTCAAGAAAAAAGTCGCAATATTTCGAGAATAAAGTCATAATATTTCAAGAAAAGAGTTGTAATATTTCGAGCGAAAAAAAATTGTAATATTTGGATAATGAAGTTGTAATATTTAGAGAAAAAAAAGTTATAATATTTTGAGGATAAAGTGGCCTTACTGCTCCACAAACTCCTGTCTCCTTGTGGATCGATCATTTTGATATCATTCGCTGTCTCTTTGAACGATACGGAGATGTAGCCACAGATAGCCGTGTAGACGACCCTGTCTGCGACTTTCCTTCAATAGACAGACAGTTTCCTCCGAGTCCATCTGGTTCTTTATTCTAAATAAACAGTTTCCTGCTCAGCCGTTTCTTATACTATAACAGGCTTGTGCTGATGTGTCAGGAGTGACAGGGAGACTGAGTATTTCTTTAGGGGTGAAAATCATATGAATGGTTAACTCCACCAACTCCTCAACGCTCCTTAATATTGCACAATATTGCAACCCTTCCTAGTATTACTGTCACTTTAATGTCGATTTCTCAAAATACAATGACTTTTTTTCTTGAAACATTGTGACTTTTTTCTCGAAATATTACGACTTTTTTCTTGAAATATTATTACTTTATTCTCGAAGTCTACTATTTTTATTTTTATTAACAGTGGCCCTAAAGCGCTGTCGTACAATTGGTTCCGCTGAATGAAACGTACAGCTTAAAATAGTGGTACCACTTTTTGAGAAGACAATAGCACAACTACAGCAGTGTACCATATCAAAAGCAAACATCTGCAAGCGATAAGACAGACAGTGATTTTGTCCATGATGCACGGTGGTGTGTGGAAATTACATATGAGTAATTTAATTATTATTATCTAATTATAGACAAGAATGTGGTTTTGAGAGCAGTTTTTTTCCCCAAAACTGTTTCCAGTTTGCAAGTAAACAGCTGAAGTCAAGATGGATGGTGATATTACAGCCGATGTGAAGACCCAACAAGTTTAAATATTTGCGGATTTGTTCTTCTGATTTGTTGTACAGCTACATAACTCTGGCAGGTATTTAAAAGAAAGTGTTGTTATATCACAGTTTGATTTGAGGGGGTTGGGGGTTGGAGGGTGATATTATCAATAATCATATTTACCTAGAAAATACATAAGAATTGTTTTCAGTTATCGCCCTTGCCCGTAACTCCATCCACACAGATGATTTCTTCCACTCAACTGTAAACTTTCTAATAGACACTGCTGGTCCTGCTTCAGTGCGTATTCCAGTCATTTTGTCAGCTTTAGTTTTTAGTCTTATAATCATTATAGCTTCTGCCCCTGGGTTCAAGCAAAGCAGGGGTCTCATTTTGTATACAGTTTTGTAGATAAACCGCTTCTACACCTAGAACATGCGTGTGAGAATGTGCATACATGTAGAGCTACTCCTCTCCAGGCATAAACAGAAATGCCTAGTGGTAGGAAAGTGTAATCATGGGTGAACTGATTAAAATACTACTTCACATCAACAAAAGCAACATTTTTTCATCAGTCCAAATCTCCCCAGGCAATCAGCTTCTGCTAGACTGTAAAAAAAAAAAAAGTCCAGAAAGGTGACAGACGAGCGTTCTTAGTAAATATGTCTCTGAGTAAATATGAAGTAAAATCATATAAACATGTAAAGATGGATTGTGAAGACGTACATGGCGGCTGATCTTGCCTTGCTTGAAGCTTTGGCACCTGTGAGTTGCGCTGAGTTAAATTAGAGCATGTTCTGCGCACCCTTTGATTAAGACCCCAGGTTTTTGTGTAGGGTATGTTTAAGACGTTTTGGGTTGTTTACTTCATGTACATGCTGTTTTCTGACCCCGTCTGTCAGTACTGTGATCCCCAGTCCATATAAGGAGCACTTTCATAATATCTCTATGCATTAAAGCGTGTGCTCAATTTGTGAATATCAAGTATTTTACAGCAGCTTTGATTTCAGAATCAGAAGTATCATTTTTATAGTTTATAATTTAATGGGTCGTGTCCGTGATTTTAGGTTTGCTGGTTACCGATTAACTGCACAGTAATGTAAGAGATGCACCAATACAGGTAATAATGCACCAATAATGCACCAATACATTGGTCATACAAGACAACGCAAAACACACGAAACCTGATGTGTCTTTTTGAGCTCTTTCAGACCAAACCCAACATCCTCAGTTCAGTGCCCGCTGGTGTGTTTGTGAATAGGTTTGTGGCCCATTATGGTAGGTATGAAGGCCCTCTGAGGACTCGGTGAGTCTCTGTCTCTGCAGTTCTCTCAGCGGTCCGACACAGCATGCCTCTCTGCTCCGCGGAAACCCAAAAAACACCTCTATTTCCAAGTCAAACACACAGGTCAGCGCTCCTCGTTCTATCTGCTGCATAAAGCTCTGCTTTGAACTCTGCTCAGGTCTGCAGTGGTCACCGTTTGTGGTTCAGCAATTGAGTCGTCGGTGGGGTTCTGACATTTCAAGGGGAGAAGAAGAAATAGCGTTCCCTTCCCAGGGAAGTAATGCTTCACTGCCATCCAAAGATGAACTTCATGCTGCAGAAGAGAGGGGAAAAAAGAAGTGAGACATATTTTCCAAGACAAACTCTCGGGCTGTCAGAATGTGTGGGGATGCAATCCTTCAGCCGGTCCATATCTCTTGTCCCGCGTCTCAGAGCAGCGAGTGTTGTGCCGAAGCCATTAACATGATCAGGGTCAACATGGGAGCAGATGATGAAGCAGTGAAATTGATTTGAGGGAATAATTGAAGGGCAAAGGCAGTAAGATGGTTTGGAAGGAAGAAGGTGAGAAAACTCGCGTGCCCCGCCTGCTCGTCTGGTTATCGATCCGTTTGAACTGTAAAGCGATGCATTCCGCGTTCCTATAAGTGAACTTCGGCTGCGTCAGCCAGTCCCAACTGGCTCAGCGATCAATGAGCAGAAAGCATGAGTTTGACTGAACATGCATGGATGACCGTACCAATAAAAAGTTGGACACACTGAATGTTTTTTGATAGATTTGAAGGCATTTTGATTTAAAGGCGTTGGCTTAAATGTTTAAAATGTGTTCGTAAGGTGAATATAAACATCAGAAAAATGTAACTAAAAATAAAAAACATTTTTTTTTTAAATTCCCCCAAGTTGTAGTTGCTGTCAGACAAAACCTTGAATCTCTGTTTTGGTTGTTTTTTGTTTTTTGACAGTATTTTGAATTTAGACTGTGTTAACTTTTCATGACAAACGGACCAACAGGAATGTTACACTGTGTTTTTCCTTCTGCTGTAAAGTAACTTTTTTGGAGATACAGTTTTATTCCAACAGTGACAAAGTGCTCAGGATATGTGGAACTTAGCAACTGCTACATTAAGACAAAGAATCACTGTCTTAAAGAATCTAAACTATAAGATGCAGATTCTTAAAATGTCTTACATAGTCTTACGTTTTTAAAAAAGATTTTAAATGTTTAGGGCCAGATTCCCAGGCATAGATTGTGCCTAATGCCAGACAATATGGGATTTTTAATGGTGAAAAACCATTGACATTGTGATTTAGTCCAAGACTGAGCTTAATCCATGTCCACAAAAGTGGCCCGTAGGTTGACTAATACAGGTTTTAGATTCCAAGATGGTGCCTAAAGACCAGGCTGAAAACAGTCATTGTCCTGCTGTGGTCAGAAACTGAACTGTTGTTGAAGGGCTAGAG